GCTGCTTTTGATCAACCTGCTGTTGAGAAATACAGGCCACCAATTCCAGTGAAACAGAGTGCCTCCTGCAATTGTGCTTGTGGGAAAAATAAGAGACACGGCAAGGATATGCCACCAGGGGCAGGAAGAAACAACGTCACAGTGAAGAAAAAGACATGTTTTCACTGTGGAACACTTGGTCACATTGCCCGAAATTGTCCTAATCGTGCATATGTTCCTTACTATGTACAAGGCTGGCAGAATGCGCCAAGAGGGAGATACTTCAAAAGAAACCCCTCAAGGTCACGTTTAGACCATGGTGACTGGAACGCGCAGAAGGCCAAGAATCAATCACACAAGGCCAAGAATCCGAATCCCAAGGGCAAGAAGGGAATGCCGACCAATAAGCCAAATCCAAGAGATGCTCCCGTGAAGCCAAAATCAAAATCATCTCAACGGCCGACGTCAAGATCAAAACCAAGTACTGAGCCACCCATCAGATCGAAAAAGAAATGGGTTAAACCCAACTACAAATGGGTTCCAAAGGCTCACTCTCCCAAATCTTCTAATGATTCTAATATTTCTACATCTTCTGTTTGTGATAAACAGGACATGTTATGGGAGAGAGTACCGTGCAAGGATGAAAAAGGTCAACCCAGTTTCAAAATGGACTGGGTTCCAAAGACCAACTAATCCCGCTCTGTGTCGGAGCAGCTATGGAGGCATATCATCAGACTTCGGTTTGTTGGTAGTGGCTGTTCCAGGCACATGATAGGAGACATCTCTCAACTGTACAACATTAAGATCTTTTGTTTGAGAGTATGTGTCCTTTGCGGGAAAGGAAGAAAAGAAGAGATCACTCATGGGGTTAGTGCTTAACGATGTGAAGAATTTTTGGATCTGTTCTGAGATTACGCGTGCTGTTCTCAGACCTTCTGGATGCAAATTCAATCGGTGACTTACGGTTTGAGTTTTCTTCTCTATACTCCTGAGTTTTTCTTAAGCTGATTCGCTTTAAAGACTAATTTTTGTTTTAGGATAGTTTAAATTTGCGCATTTACTTTCATTTCTCTCCTATGAACAAATTTAGGGGGAGAATTAAAAACAAAACAAAAATTAGATGTTATGGAATGTGCTTGCATGTGATGTGAAGGGAAGTGATATAATCATGTGATAACAGGCAATCTGAATCTGTGTAAAGGACTGAATCTGAATTGTCTAGGCTCTGTGTGTCGATGCGCTGGTAGGCACGAGAGATTAAAATGGACTTGACTAGGCATTAATGAACTTAAGGAATCTAGAGACTTGAAAAATCTTGACCTAGATAGATCCATTTAGCCTGACAATATGACGCTTGGATAGGTTGAGCAGGGAGATATACATGATAATCCAACGGTCACACTAAAATAATCCGTATCTAGAACTGTGGTTTAACTCTTCCTCGATGTACGAACTTTGTCCTTAATTCCAGTATTGATGGGGCGACTGGGGGAATTCCGATAAAGTAGGTCTGTAGGAAATTATTTTCTGGCTTTCTTTCTGTTAGTCATATGTTGCCTCCTCTGCGTGATTGAAATACATCCGACCTGGACTGCAACATATGCAACTCTACTTCTCTGCATCTTCTATCTATGCAATTCTTCCTGTCTGTTAGTCATATATTGTCTCCTTTACGTGACTCACAATCCGACCTGGTACACAGTATATGCATCATTCTTTTTCTCAATCCCTCTAAAACTTAAGTTAGTCATATGTTCACCCTCTGCGAGATTGAAAGAGATCCGACCTGGGTGTATAGCATATGCATTCTAAATCTATCTTCTCTCTTAATAATTGTCTGCTCACCCGATGTAAGGAGTATTCTGGAAGTCCTTGATTACTGGAGCATATCAGGAAGCGGGAAACATGTTATGATACAACTAAAACTGAACACTTACAGATTGTCTGTAGATCTCGCTGCTCAATTTAGGTGGACAACAATATCTTTGGTCGTCGTCAGCTGAATGGTCCTTAAGGAATATTATCTAGGAACTTAGGATCACATTGTCTTGTCACTTATAGTATGTCCTAATTTTGTCACAATCTCTCATGTTTAAGTGGACCACAATACCGACGATTGACCAGATCTATTCATGAAGGGAGAGGTACTGATAAACGGATAAAGGTTGTCTAAAAACTTTGATCCCAAATCACTCTTAAAGTTAGATATCATTTTTATTTTTGTTAAATTTGTTCATAGTTTTATTCCAATTTAAATATTAGGGGAGAATTAAAACTTTTAAAAACCAAAAAAAAAAAATCAGAAAATAAAAAATCCAAAAAAATAGTGTTATTTCTGTTTTATTTCTTTTTCAGAAAATATGAAAAATCCAAAAATATTGTGTGCTAAAATTTTCTTTTAGTTTAGTTTTGTCTTGAATAGTGAATTCAGGTGAAGATGAAACTCGTGGAAGTTTGTGTCGAAGATTTCTGAGCCAAGGCTTCATCCGTGATCATCGAAGAATTCTCATTCGAAGGAGCAAGAAATGAAGATTATTCTTTCGACATTCAATCTTTCAACCCCAGAAGCAAGGTGAAGCTGAAATTGAAGATTATGTGACGGATTGCATTGAAGCCTCCTCAATCAGTCTGCTGCTATCTTTAAACCTGCTGAAGTGATCCAGAAGATTAGTTCTCTCTGATATTCTCTCTGAAGATTCTCAAGCTGAAAGCGCTATCTCTCAAGAATCAGTACAAGAAGCCTCCTCACCCAATGTGCGTTCAATGTCAAATTCTGAAGAAAAGCCCAACTGCTCAAGATGAGGTCATTCATTGAAGATTCATCAAGTTCATCTTGAAGTTGTGAAGAATTTGAAGATAAATGCTGAAGCCAAGCTTACAATGAAGATGAACAAGAAAACCAGCTACTTTTTAGGGGGAGATTGTTGGGTCATTTAAGAAAAGAAAAGAAAGCTATAAACCAAGGGGGAGATTGTTGGGTCATTTAAGAAAAGAAAAGAAAGCTATAAACCAAGGGGGAGATTTTTGGGTCAAAAATATGGTTTATACTTTGCTTTTCTAGGCAATTGTATTTTTCTGTAATATTTTATGAGTTTACGGTCAGGTTTACGGCCAGGTGGGTGTTTACGGTCGTAAACAGGTTTACGGCCGTAAACCCTGTTTACGGTCGTAAACAGGTTTACGGCCGTAAACCCTGTTTACGGCCCAATGGGTGTTTACGACCGTAAACCCATTTACGGCCGTAAACCCATTTACGGCCCATGTTTCTCATGTATATATATAGGGGTGAGGGGTGTGAGGAATAATTTGATGAACAGAAGAGAGTGTACGGCCAAGAGAGAGAGAAAGGAGTTTTAGTGTGTGTAAGTGTGTGAATCTTGTGTAAGGAACTTAATTCATATCATCAATACATACAAGATTCATCATCTTCTTCTTCTCCTTCTCTTCTATTTGATCTGACATCATCCAATTGATTGGGATTCTGCACCATCAAACGGATCTGATTGATACTCAAGCAGATTAGGTACTTACAAAATATCATGGAGGGGTGGTAAGCAGGCGGGTACCAACAAAAACAATAAACAATACATTACAAGAAATAAAAACTACAAAACACAAAATAATAATAAAAGGGCTATCATAATATTTTTACATATGCATGAGACAAAAATCGCAAAAGAAAAATATATAATAGGAATAACTTAAATGAAAATTAAAAGATAGGTCAAAGCATGCAGATTTGGCCAAATCAAATGGATGATTTGACTTCTCATACAAGTAGATGTTAATTAACCTGTTGAGTCAAATGACATAATTCCAATTCCTAGACTTCGTAGATTTGATAGGGTCCGTTTACCTCTTGAGTTTTATGGCTTCCATATCGAAACAGAAGGAGAGTTACTAATTAGTAATCGTACATTAGTTAGTATGGATGAATCATCTAACTACATAGAAGCAATGGTAGACACCGAAGTTACTAAATAGAAGGAGAGTATGTAAAGTGAAATTTAATCCATGTATGATAACCAATCCTACGCCACACATTAAAAGCATTGGGTGCCAATAGATCTTTAAAAAGAAGACCGACATGGATATGAATGTGCATACATTCAAAGCTAGGTTCGTAGAAAAGGGTGATACTCAAATTCAAGGAATTGATTATCAGGAAACCTTCTCTCCAATAGCCAAGATTAATACTATTATAATATTACTTGCCTTAGCCAAGATTAAGACATTTTCATGAAGATTGATTTCCCTAACGAGAAAATTAGCATAGGTTGTCTACATGACACAACCTGAAATCTTCATTGATCCAAAATATCCTGATAGGGTGTGCAAGCTTGAGAGGTCCATTGTAGACTCAAATAAGCATCACAAAACCAGAATATCTGCTTTCATGAAAATGTCAAGGAATTTGGATTTTTTAAAAGTGAGGATGAGTCTTGCATATATGTCAAAGTCACTGGGAATAATGTGATCCTCCTAGTATTGTATGTTGATGAGTTAATCCTTATAGTAAATGATATCCCAACTTATAAAGTGTAAAGAAGTGGCTTGGAAAATGTTTTTCTATGAAGGACCTATAAGAAGCCGCTTATATATTAGGCATAAGGATCTATAGAGATATATTGAACATTTAATTGGAATAAGCCAAGGTAAATACTTAGATAATGTTTTGAAAAGATTCAAAATGCAAGATTCTAAGAAAGGGTATCTACCCATGAACATGGCATAAGATTGAGTAAGGATCAATCACCCAGTATTAGGTTGCATGAGATATGAGGGAGGAAATGGGGGTACATGGTTGCATGGGATGTTTAGAGGGAATGGACCAAAGCTACCTAAAATATGTAGATCATTAATCAAAAGAGTGGTTCTTGGGTATCGGAGGAAATGGGCACATCCATGATTTTGGTAGTAATAGTCAATAGGTCAGTAAAATTTAACCCAAAATTGGAATCTCCATGAGAATTAATGACTTTGTCATTACCAAGAAACGATTCCACATCCCTAACATTCTATCATGTTGCTGGCTCACTGTGAACTGACTCCTCGTTTTCAGGTTGTGGTAATGGCACCGGTGAATTACCGATTATAATCGGCAGGTTATCATCTATGACCGCCACATCGTCACATTCATCACCGTCTGGAGTGGCTGAGGTGGCCTCGTCTTTGCGTATCTCCCCTTCTTCCATATCATTCATGTACGTGTCTGAGAACCCCTCTTCTTCTTCTTCACTTTCAGACTCATCATCATCTTCCTATTCTTCCCCGCCTAAATCTGATACATAAGGTTTTTCATCTGCTTAGAATTTCAAAGGAAACCATCAATCATCATCATATTCTACAATTCCTACTGACAATGAACTTCCATTGAGAAGAATAGATAATTCTTCATTAAGCTTCTTTTTTAAACTAGTAAGGATGCTAACTTTGACAAAGGAAAGGTCAACACGATTTTTGATGCCATCAAACAGAACGATAATTCTTCCAAAGTTGCTAACGATCTTGTTGAAATTAGAATCACTCCACATTATTATCGGCAATCCAACGATTATGATCCATGCTATGCGCTCAAAAATGGTATTGGATGATTCTCCCATTTGAATGATGTAACATCCCAAAAATCCCAATAAATTTTTTTCATTTTTAACTAAAGAGAAATCATTGTTTTCAATCAATCCAAACCATAAAAACCCAAGATTAAATAAAAATGTTCCAAAATCAATGTATCATAATATCTTCAAAACATGCAACCGAAGGATGTGTACGATCACACCTTTGCTTTCCTCCGGTCATATGAAGTACCTAAAACATAAAACTTAAACGGTAAGCCAATGCTTAGTGAGTCACCCATAATACCACCACACAAACACATAACAACATGCATACTCGACCCTCAATCATCAGGTTGGATTACCCATGATCCCACAACATGAGTCTTGCTTGCCTTCCTGGCCCACAGATCATGTCTGGATTGCTCCCGAGCCCACAACATTAGTCTGGCTTGCTCTCGGGTTTGTTGGCTTCCGCACAGAGCAATATTGCCTCAACCTAACCACACTATGTCGACATATGTAACAGATAAAACATATAACGACAAATAGATAATCATGCAGTTTTCAACAAATCATTACAACATAGCAACATCCTAAACCAAGATACATAACCTACTAGGCCGACATTGGTGCCTTCGACCCGCAAGTACAATGAGGAAGCTCACCTCACAGACTAAAATGATAGCTGAACAAATCACTACTCCGAATATTGCCTCTATTAATCACCTATATAATGACAGGGATTCAAACATCAATCTACTACTCAAAATACCCAAAATGACCTAAAGTAAAACTTGGTAAAAGTCAATGGTCAACGTCAAATCCAGCTGGTCGCCATGCATTGGCCATCCTTGGCAACGTCGTGGCCACTAAACGACAAGGTAGACGAGTCTTAGCTCAGCCACCATACTATGGTAGCCTAAGCCACACCATGTCAGGCTAGGCCACGCCGTGGGCACAGGGCTCCCAACAACTTAATATATTAAAATTTTTTCTTTGATTCTAAGTGCTCCAATGCGACATTCCCATTTTCACGGCTAGAAAAGACCGATTTGTTTATGCTTTATTTGAAAATCAGAGTATACTTTTAAAGAAATATGTTGCGGAATTTGTTCCAAAATATTATAAAGAATTTATCAAAGCATTTTCGAAGAAATGTATTTTCATTATATTAAAAACCTAGGGATGTCATTGTCAAAACAAATCAAAAGCATAAACAGAAACAACATAGGCCTTACAACATCTATTTATTCTAGTGGCCTAAAAGACATTGATCTCTTATCAGACAATCACTCCTGTGCTATCTTGCCACTACCTGTATACAAGAAACTGAGTAGGTCAGGCTTGGGAGCCTGGTGAGCACATAGGGTTTTCAACCCACAATAATTAAGTTCATTAATTTCGTCAAATCATTTAACCTGATTACTCATTCCCGTTATCCTCACCTTACGTCCATAAAGCATTTAATATAAGGGACCTAGCCTAAGGATTTTCATCTGGGTGACAACACTGCTTAGGGGATTCCTCGGCAATTTATGTCAAATAAGGCAACCATGAGGGGGATGGAGTACATCTGGTGAACACGTAGTTCAAATAAACACCTACATGTTGCGAGCCTGCCAGCGTTCCACTGGGCTGTCTAGAATAGTCCATGGTCGTCATCTATACTCTACTAGATGACTGGATCAACGTAAACATCGAGGCCTCTCATCATTTTGTCACACATCAACTATTTCATCTACCCATGTTTTACCCAACATTTTCGTAGATATAAAATACATATACAGTTTAAATCATTTAAAACATGTATAAATCGTTCATCCAACATAGATATCAAGAACACAGATAATATGCACACATAGCACGTAATTTATATTAAGTACTTCATACCTATGTGTAAGATGAAAGTAACTATGCAATCACATGTTAAAGTAGTGATTCTAACTTGGACAACGCTTCACTTCTTAACAATATAATTTCCTTCGACGAAACCTAGTATTATTACCACTAGATTTTAGTCTAATATTTATTGCGACTAATTACGAGCGATTTTTTTTATAAGTGTTAAAAAATACTTTTCAACTACTATGTACAGAGAGGGCCAGACATGAAACACCGGAGGGCAGGACCATTTTGGCATTATATCACTTCTGAAATCCAACAACCCTATGCGGCCCTTCAAACCAGATTCCCCGTACCGTGAGTAGTTAAAAGATATTATAATAACACTTTATATATATATATATATATATATATATATATATTATATATATATATATATATATATATATATATATATATATTATGTTTTATAATATATATATTATTTATAAGCTCATAATAACAATAATAAACTTAAACATAAGTTATACTTAAAGTAGGGTAAGCGTATCTCACTTACAACGGGGTTTGCTAGAAACCGGGCTCTGCGGGGGCAGAACTTTCCGAGCCGAAGAGCTCTTTTTCTCGGAGCCTTCGGGTGCTCCGGGGCTTTCCTCTAGCACTTAGAAGTTATTAGAGCTTTGGGAGGGCTTAGAGAGAAGTTAGAGAGAGAGAGAGAGAGAAAGGCTTTTGGTGTGAAGAAAATTGGGTGCTCTCGCATCCTATTTATATGCTGAAAAATGGCTCAAGTCTTCGAGTTTGAGCCTCCAACTCGTCGATTTGTTGCTACATGTCACCATCTGGTGGCAAGGCCTGGGGAGAAAGCAATGGACCAGGTTCAGTCACGTCACCCTCTTCGCAACAGTACACTCCCGACTTCTAAATTCCGTAACTAAACATACGAGCTCCGTTTTCGACGTTCTTTATATCCACACATAGGAATTGACAAGATCTACAACTCTCCTTTTGACTCCATCGGCTAATTCTCGACCGATTTTAAATTTAACTGTATGAGAAGATTACACTGTTTAATGACGGTGTAAAGTTCATAAATTCTACATACAGACTCCGTTTGACTGTCTTTTTATCGTTGAACTCCTATTAATGAGATCTTAAATTCTCATTTAGGTTGTGTCGGATTAAAATCGATCAATCTAAAATTCGAATTCCACGCTGTGCACTGCTATGCTAAATCTTAGAAAAATCATAACTTCCTCATACGAATTCAGATTTGGACGTTCTTTTTATGCACGTTCTCGGTTTAACGTATACTATAAATTTCATTTAGATCCCTAAGGCTAAAAAGTAATTTATCAAAAATTCACTTTTTATGTTACGCGGTGTCGTGCCAGTTTAGCCGTAAAACTTCGACAGGTCCTAACTTCTTCGTTATAACTCGGATCTCGGAGTTCTTTATATCTCCGAAATCCTTGTCACGACCATTACAAATTTATTCATAGATATTGGGTTTATCTATTATTTTATTTTTGTCGCTTATTTTCATTCTTAATTTATTATATCGTATATTGTCCATAAAATCACATAATTCACATAATATTCAAGTAATTCCTCTTTATTACTTCAAATTAGGTTACAATTGTTGACCCTAACTATTACATCATTATACTAGTGCTTAGCCTAGAAACACGGGCGCTACAATTCTCTCCTCCTTAGGATGATTCCGTCCCGGAATCATGCATTAGCAAACAGATGTGGATAGTGACTCGTCATGTCACTCTCTGTTTCCCCGGTGAGGTTCGGACCGTTCGTATGTTTCCATCGCACAAGCACTAAGTCGACCATCTTGCGTCGCAATTTCTTCGTCTACCAGTCAACAATTGCCTTAGGCTCTTCGATTAACCTTTTATTTTCATCCATCCCTAACTCTGAAATTGGAATTATATCGGGAACTTCTCCCATGAACTTCCTCAAATAACACACATGGAAAGTGTTATGAATACCATCTAGTTCTGTCACACCCCCAAACCTGAACGACGGAAACGTTCGGGGGCGGAGGACGTCATGTGCAGTATCATAACAATTGAATAGTAAAGAAAACAAACATAACCATAATATACATAATTGAAAATTTACATCATTGTATGCGTTACATGTTTCCAAAATGTCAATTATAATATGATGTCAAAAGTTTTGTTTAACGCTCTAGCGTCAAATCTTCAAAAGATGTTGATAACTTGCATTCTCAGGAAACTAGTAAAAACAGGTTATCAACAACTTTTGAAGATTTGACGCTAGAGCGTTAAACAAAAATTTTGACATCATATTGTAATTGACATTTTGGAAACATGTAACACATACAATGATGTAACTTTTCAATTATATATATGATGGTTGTGTTTGCTTTCTTTACTATTCAATTGTTATGATACTGCACATGACGTCCTCCGCCCCCGAACGTTTCCGCCGTTCAGGTTTGGGGGTGTGACAGATTGGTATCAGAGCATTGTTTATAGTGAACTAAGTATATCGAACCATATGATGTACACCTATAAATACAATGGGACTAAAATACTCTGACCAAGAGTTATACGTTTTAAAATATATTAATATTTTATAAAAAGTATACATGCATACATACATACTAAGAACAGTATCGTAATAAAAATAAAACAACAATATTAATGATGCGTTGAGCACTACGAGTACGTCTGAGAGTATGTAATCAGGTCTGGAATAAGTATAGCCTGATCAACTATATTCATTCGAGAAGTGACTAGCATACGCTTTTAATAGTCATAGTGGGCAACAAATCTAAAAACTTACCAACCTCATAAACTCGAGAACCAAACAAAAAAATTTAAAAATACTATATGAGTATTTTTGTAATACATTTAACTATACACTCAAATTCCCTATGTATCTCATACCCCAATTTCTCGAATAGACTTCATGACAGGATTCCACTTACCTGCAGATCCCTACTTTCCTAATCAAGGAAACGAAGGTTGGATCGTGGAAGATCCAGATGAAGATTCCAAAGAAGAGCCAATGGAAGAAGAAGATGAATAGGATTAAGAAGGCACCGACTCAGATCCAGAGGTTTAAAATCCACCGCAAGCTGTCCGGTACCTCACAGCCAGACAGAACTTTCATGGTCTGATGCCAAGTTGGGCTACAGACTTACATAGATGGAGCCAAGAACA